TCTGCTCACAGTTTTATTTTAAATATCTTTCCAATTTATTGAATGACCTACTTTTATAATTCCTGAATCCCAAGGAATAATCCCAAAGCATAGATTTCTTAGCCACCTTTGCAGTTAGAAAACCCGCTACTGAATTTGGCCTCACACACTTGATGCATCAAAATCTGAAATGACAGCCGAAACCAGTTTGGCTCAGTGGATAGAGTGTCGGTCTGTGGACTGAAGGGTCCCAGGTTCGATTCCAGTCAAGGCATGTACATTGGTTGCGGGCACATCCCCAGTGGGGGGTGTGCAGGAGGCAGCTGGTCGATGTTTCTCTCTCATTGATGTTTCTAGTTCTCTATCCCTCTCCCTTCCTCTCTGTAGAAAATCAATAAAATATATATATTTTTTAAAAATCTGAAATGACAGAAATTGGTAGAAATGGTTGCAGGCAAGCACTGGAATCCTTAGGACAATAGAAGAAATGTTGACATTATTATCAGTCCTGGTAGAGCTGAAGGCACACAAACATCCAACTAAAGTTAAAAATAAAATTTTATCATAACATGGCCTGTAGCAAAACAGCTCATTAATTAAGACGTATGGTAACCTAGAGTAAAATGCACACTGAGCACAAAGCGTGGTGGGGTTGGGTGGCTGTTCTGAGAGAACAATGTAAATGGCATGAGGAACGTGTGAACTGTGAAGGTAAATTGATTGTATCAAACTGTACTGACAGCTTGAAGAAAACGAGTAACAAGCTCAAAGCCTTAAATTCTGGCTCAAGGCCCAGAGAGGAAACCACGGGATTTTATGACTGATGAAATAATTTTGTATCTTCTACAGCCATAGACCTAAGGCAGAGGACTAAACTTAAAAGTTTGATCCTAACAATTATAAAATTTAAAAGTTGGTTGTATAACCGGACTCATTCCTACCACAGCATGAAAGCTAATGAACGGATTGAGAACAAGTAAGATTCTGAACATGGAGGATAGGAAATGAGAGAGGATCCAGATGGATGTGTGCCCACAAACTCCCAAACATCTTGATTTTTTTGCAAAAGCACCCCTTCCTTCCAAGACCAAGAAGGCCCTTTGTGCTTTTGCTTAAAATCCAATAGCAAGTTCATCTGAAACTTACCTTATAAGGGAAAACTATTCTTATTACTCCCATCCTCCACCACTTCTAATTATCTCCTGATCTAAATTAGAAGCAGAGTTCAACATGCCCCAGGGAGACAATTACAAACTCAAATACTAGAAGAGATGATTAAGCAGGAAAACTGCAACGATTTTGGGATTTCCATTAGCGAAATCAGAAAACACACATGGAAATAAATTTTGAAACAAAATTTAAAATTGTACTAAACATGTATTAATATGATCATCTTTCTCATAAAGTTTAGAATTGCTGTATGAACCTCTGTGCATGATAATGGCTTTGCTTTGTTGCTCGGTTACCTAATTAAAATCTGGACTTGATGAAGACTCTGAGATACCTAAAACTCTTTAATAATTTGTCTATAAAAATATTCATTTAATTAAGGAAATTAAAGTGGTTTTATCAGTAATTCATTCAAACTGTTCCTTACATGGCTTAAGAGAGGGTAAAAAATGCTTTCTAACCTGGGTATTGTGAAATACATGGATAATGGCACAGCAGTAGCTTTCAAAAGTATTGTAGAGATTGTTCTCTGTTAACTAGGATTTTGCTACAAAGAGATTTTGCAGTTAAAATGGGGTCTCTTATTTCCATGGGCATGATGAGATCCTTGGGTGTTAAGACCAAATAATATTAATCAACCATCAGGTGCAAGATGCAATTTGTATAATTAACAGTAGTGCTGCAAGAGAGCATTTTTCATCCCCTACTTGATCATAGAGTATCTAGGACTTGCATAAATGAACAGCACCCTAAGGTCTACAATAATTATGTAAATTAAAACCCTTTTGGTTGGTCTGGCAGAAAAAATGATGCTCCAGCTGCAAAGAGATCAGGCTCTTCAGCCAAAGTTAGTTGAATTCCTCAGATCTCAGTTACTTCAGACTCAGAGTCCTATCTAATAAAAAGTAATATGCAGATTGACAATCACTTCAACACATAAGCCCTTGTGTAGACACAAGATGGCCAGCTGGGGAGAGCAGTTGGGAGAGACCAGGCCTGCAAGGGAAGGCAGTTGGGGGAAATCAAGCCTGCACGGAAGGGCAGTTAGGGGTGACCAGGCCAGCAAAGGAGGGAAGTTGGAGGCGACTGGGCCTGCAGGGAAGGGCAGTTGGAGGGGACCCAGGCCTACAGAGGAGAGCAGTTGGGGGGGGACCAGGCCTCCAGGGGAGGGCAGTTAGGAGCAAACAGGCTGGCAGGGGAGCAGTTAGGCATCAATCAGGCTGGCAGGCAGAAGCAGTTAGGGGCAATCAGGAAGGCAGGCAGGTGAGCAGTTGGGAGCCAGCAGTCCTGGATACATCTGAGTGGTAACAATGATAACAGGACAAATATCTTCTCTCTAGTATTTCTGAGCAAGAGTTTGGATATTTTCTAGAACTAGGAAGACATAAATAACTACATATTTTGAGAACTTTGGTAAATTTCAAGCTAAGGGAAATACCTAGGAAGACCCAAAATATTTTCTGATTCACTGACTGGATGGTGATTTATGAATATTAAAATAGATGCCTGATCTAATTTTGTAACTGAACCCAGGTTTGGCTATCTGCTGAAACAAAAGCCAAACTTGTGAGACAGGACTGATGAAAAGAAAATACATTAATTCATATGTTGGTATATTGACAAGATGGGGGACTTTTCCCAGTCCTCAAAAAACCATCTATTTTTTCATAAATGTTTAAATTGATTTGAGAGAAAAAGGGAGAGCGGGAGAGAGAGCGAGAGAGCGAGAGCGCGAGAGCGAGAGCGAGAGCGAGAGCGAGAGAGAGAGAGAGAGAGAGAGAGAGAGAGAGAGAGAGACAAAACCCAGGCATGTGCCCTGACCAGAAATTGAACCTGTGATGTCTTGTTTCATGGGTCAGTACTCAACCACAGAACCACGACAGCCAGGCCAGTTATGGAGACTTACTGGTCTCTTCAATAGGATTTATACTTTCTAGAAATTTGCCATTTGAATCTCTAAAGCTTTATTTTCGTACAAGTCAGATCTTGCACATTGGAACCACTAGGGCATTTTGTGAGGGTTTTTAAATTTACCAATGGGCTCATTTAATAATATGAGTGTCATTGTTTTTTATCTGTTATTTGAAGATGTTAAAATCATGTTTAATAGGCATGAATGAGGATTTAATCCTTTGAATATTTAAATCTTAAGTCTAAACCACAAGTTTAATCCAGTGAAAATAGTTCAGTTTAAAATCTATAACTTCATTAATATAGATCATGTGTCTGGTATATAATGCCAGATATTTTAAGCTAAATAATTTATGACTACATTTCTTTTTCAAAATTTAGGATGCTCACACATAATTTATATTCTTTCAGAGAAGAGGGTCTAATTTATATCTTGCTAAAGTGTGCAAGAGGGTACTTAGAGTTACCCTTTCTTTGCTTCTGCCATTTCAAATTAAAAATAACAAGTTAATGTGTATAACTATTTAAGTATTAGGAAATTCATATCATTATTTTATATAATCTTACCAATTTTCATATTTTCAGTTATTTTTAAATTTTACTGTTTTAATATATTATTGAACAATCCTATAGAGCATACTAAAACAATAACTGATAATCATCTAACTTATTAAATAAATGGTCTATTAACTAGTACTGGCCATTTTATAGAATCATAGAGTAATTAAAAGAATATACTATACTAGAGTGCACAACATTTGTGCACTTGGGTGGGGGTCCCTCTAGCTATCCAGGAGCCCTCGGGGGAATGTCTGATAGCTTAGGCAGGTTTCCTGTGGGAAGCAGGCCTAGGCTGGCAGTCAAACATCCTTAGCACTGCTGTGGAGGTGGGAGAGGCCACTGCACCTGCCAGCCATGAGCCCAATTCAGGGCTTCTGGCTGAGCAGCACCCCATCTTTGGGAGTTCATGGACCACCAGGGCCAGCTCCTGCATTAAGTGTTTGCATCCTGATGGTCAGTTCTTGTCATAGCAACCAGTTGTTCTGCTGTTCAGTCAATTTGCATATTAGCCTTTTTTTAAAAAAAATATAGAATAGACATCTAAGTAATGCCTGAACACTACAATAGTTTAATCGAATGTTTATTCATAACCATAAAATTCAATATCTTCAGAAACACTTCATTTTCTTTAACTGGACTTTCCTTTGTAGAGGTTACTTTATACTGAAATTAAGTAACATATAAGTATATAGAGACATTGCAGAATGTCAGTAAATAAATGTTCTATTTTCTTAATTACCCTCAATATGTTTTGAAAAGAATAATTACTTGATTACTTAATTTTGATTTAATTGCAAACTTCAAAATCCTTTGTCAGTAAGATGATCTCAGTACTTCCTTGCAATCACTGTAAATCAATATAATCAGAATAAAATCAAGGCCAGAATTTAAAATATGCAGTTAATATAAATTTATAACTTTGATAAAAATATAAAATTTAGCAAAGAAAAAGGTTTTCATGTGTGCTCACTGATCATTCTGCATAAAAGTAGTATAATCATAGAATAATCATTATAATCCTGTTTTTTATCCACCTCTACATCCCACCCCATATCTAAGACAAAATATAAACTCAGTAAACGATTAGGGATTGATTGACTATTCACTGAACATTAGAAAATACTTCCTTAAAAAAAGAAAAGAAAAGAATCATATTGTAGCATGTTGCAACTTGGGACAGTTTTCACATATTCTGATGGCAACTTCAATATAGTATTAAAAATCAAAATTTTCATTTTTGTCTAAAATGAGCAAGCCTTATTTATGAATCAATTAAGATAAAAAAATAAAAATAAATAAAACATTTTTTTAAAAACTTGCATAAGACATAACATGTGATTGGGAGCTGTTTCTTCTCAAAATCTGCCCTTGGAATAAAGGAAGTTTTCTAACAACGAAGAAGCACATTAACACTGCATTTAACATCATATAGATCCAACTATTACTCTAGGTGCATGGTAAGGAAAGGACATATTCTTGTCAAAGCTGTACTTTTCTGACCTTTATATATTCTTTAGGGTTACTCTAAGCAGCCAACTCTGAATATATCAGTTATAAATTACCACATTTATGGGCAAAAGCAGGGGTTATTTTCCTCCTTTCATTGCCAGTTTTGTAAGTGGGGCCTGTACCAGTCAGTATTCATATCAGACAAAAAGAATGTTGACAGAAAGGCCCAGGCAAAATATACAAATCCTATAAAGCAGCAATCAATTTAGCTAAGTGACTAGCTCTGGACAGTTTGTTTCAACTTTTGAAGGTTTATGGAAAGCTCTTTTTAGGTTCATCTTATCATCAAGGTCTAGCTGCCAGCAAATATGCAAGACATTTAGAACTATCAGCATTTGACTTAATATTTAAAGGTTGAAAGTGAATATATCTGCCAGCATGCAGCAAAGCAGTTTAACTCAGGAAGGAGCCTCCTTCATCAGCCATCAACTCAAGGACAGTCAGAGCTGTCAGTTCAGGGCAGCTGCTTCCTAGAGCGTGTCTGTAAATGCTCTTGCCTCTCATCCTTAGCCCACAATACTGATGGGGAAAGAAAACCAAAGAAGTGATTGAGTCACCTAGAATCTCCAGGACTAGTCACCATCTAGAAATTAACAGAATCCCCACATTTATTCAAGTTTTGAACTAATACATGTGAGTTGAGAGGACAAGAAGCTAAACAAATCAGTGTTCTCGCTAGCACAGAGCTTACATTGGAAGGTCAAATCTATATATGTAAAAGACTAATATTCAAAGTGTCCCCTTAGGAGTTCGACCAGGAGAATGGGACACCATTCTAAACCTCTGTTAGTTTTGACATTATCAGATTCACCTCAATCGCTTTTTTATGATTTGCATTAGCCACCAAGGAGCACCATGGAATGAAGGAAGGCCTGGCCAGCAACCAACAGGGAAGGGAGGCCCCTGCCAGCAGCCAGCCTCTGGTACGGACCCTATCTGGGCACAAATTTTGTGCACTGGGACTCTAGTAAACACAATAAAAAAAGTAACAGAAACAAAACAAGCAAACTCAATCTTTAAAAAGCTTGATTTCCTTGGGAGGCTACCAATAATAAACAGATGGGGAAAGTAAGATATATACAGAGTGTTTAGGAAATATCAAAACTGGAAAATGGCAAAGGTAATGTTAAAGAATTTCCATTTTAAAGAGAGATGTCAGGGAAAGTCTTCCAGAGGGGTCATGTTTGGGTAAAACCCTGAAGAAAATGAGGGTGAATTTATCCTTGCAGATATATATATATATATATGTAAATATATATATATATATATATATATATATATATATGTAAATATATATATTTATATAAACATATGTGTAAATATATATATATACATATATTTATATGCATATATATATACTAGAGGCCCAGTTCATGAAAATTCACTGCTGGAAGGGGGGTCATTCAGCCTGGCCTGCCCTCTCACAGTTCGGGAGGCCTCAGGGGTGGGAGATGACCTGGTGATCAGGGGAAGGCGATGCCCCCATCACACCTCTGCTGCTGCTACTGTTGCCAGTGCAAGCCCTGGTGACCTGAGCCTCAGACAGCCCTGGGCAGCTGGGCAGCCACCATCCGAGGCTTGCTTGCACCTTGGGCTGGCCCTACGTCCAGCTGCACCGCACACTTGCTACCCCTTGGTGAGCTATGGGCACTGCCATCTTTGTGATGGTGTGATGGTCAATTTGCATATTCCCTCATATATATATATATCTTTCCATGCAGAATCAACATTAAAATGCAAGGTCCTCACCCAAAGCATGGGCATGGCAGGATGCTATACCATCAGTTAGAAACCAAAATAGCTGAAGGGTTGTAAATCCTGGGACAGAGATGAATTTACAGAGGGAATGGGGAACAGACAATAAAGAGGTCTTGCCAGTTCTTGCGAAGTCTTTGGCTTTTACACCAAGTGACATGTGTGCACAGCAGAGATACATAATCCCCCTTACTTGGTGAGAAAAGGTTGAGGTAGGGCAGGCAGGGAAACAAGGAGACCCATTTTAAGCTTCAGCCAGCATGAAGACTGGAAAATGTCAGTACACTTTTAATCTCATGAGTTTATGCTGACTGTGGACAAAATATATTCACTCGATGTGGTAAATGATTGCTAATCAATATTTCTTAGCTTCTGAATATTGTGGGCAATAGTGCACATGGCTGATCAAAATTATATCCAAGACTTTACAAGCAAGGAGAAGACAGGAGCATCAGGGAAGAGGGGGCATTCTCATAGCTAGCCGTGTAAGGTTCTAGAGCTCTGTTGATGCTAAAGACTCTGTACTAGGAAGCTGCAGAATGGGAAATGCATCAGGACGGATGAGAAGGTGCAGAATCAGAGATGTGTTTTAGACAAAGCACTCCAGATGCTGATTAGAGAAAGTGACACCGTTCTAAGCCTCTGTTAGTTTTGACATTATCAGATTCACTTTAAATATGCTCACATAAACTTTGGATACAGACTCTAGATAACTCCTCTTCAGGTCCCCAGCACTTAAAAATTCTAGCAGGACAAGAAGAGGCATTTATTGATGATGGTAGTATGGCAGGTCTCAGAATTCATGAAACACCAAACATTGATATACATACAGTTTATTAGGGAAAAAATAATGCTCTGATGTCAGATTTACATTGTACCCACATATTTAAAATAAAACCTATTCTTCAGAGTCATTCTATTTTGTAAAACTCAGAAATGATAGGAATCCTCCAGCTCAATTTTTCATTCCAGAGAGAGGATTCTGAGACAAAATAAGGTTATGTGACTTGTCCTAGCCAGTTTGGCTCAGTAAATATAGAATCAGTCTGCAGACTGATTCTGGTCAAGGGCACCTACCTCAATTGCAGGCTCCTCCCTTGGCCAGGCCCTAATCAGGGCTAGTGCAGAAGGCAACCAATGAATGTGTTTCTCTCACATTGGTATTTCTCTCTGTCTTTCCCTCTCTTCCACTCTCTCCAAAAGTCAATGGAAAAATATCCTTGGGTAGGGATTAAAGAAATAATAATAATAAAATAAAGTTATGTAACTTGCAAATTTGACCTTAGCACTGGCATTTTCTAAAACATAAAAATGTAAGACAGCTTCACCAAAACTGGTTTGGCTCAGTGGCTAGGCACATGTGTCAAACACAAGGCCCGCGGGCCAAATCCGTCCCGCCAGGCCTTGCAATGTGGCCCGCACCGCGCTGTCATCACTGCACTCTGCTGCGTTTCCATCACAATGACAGTTTATGACTGTTCAGTAAACCATTCGGCCCGCAATTTAGGCTGGATTTTAGATTTTGGCCCCTTCTCTGATTGAGTTCGACACCCCTAGGCTAGAGCATCGGCCTGCGTATTGAAAGGTCCCAGGTTCGATTCCGGTCAAGGGCATGTACCTTGGTTGCGGGTATATCCCCAGCAGGGGGTGTGCAAGAGGCAGCTGATCGATGATTCTCTCTCATCGATGTTTCTGACTCTCTATCCCTCTCTCTTCCTCTCTGTAAAAAGTCAATAAAATATATATATTTTTTTAAAATGTAAGACAGCTTCAAAGAGTGCTGTGCTTGACATGCTAAGTGTATGGAAAGAAGTAGAAAGAAAGGTATCCGTCCACCAGAAGTGTGTATTCTCTCACCTGTCCTGTGTGCCGTTCAGGAAGAAGATACAGGCCATGTAACCAGAGCTACTGGATCCGGCAGCCTCCTGGTGCTCATCTGCAGCCAATTCCAAGCTGCAGGCAGCCAGGCAGGCACACTCCCCAGGGGCATACCACTTTTATTTAACAGTCCCGAACAGCTGCAGAGCACACAGCTAACGACCATTTGAGCATGCGAGTGTCTGATGATTGCAGATAAAATACAACACCCAATGAGGATAAAGGTGATAACAATACAATAGAACACATGTGCAGTGACAGTCCACAACGTGTAAGTTCCATCACAGATTTTATAAGGCAACTTCTAAATCATTTGTCGTGTGCATTCTTATGGAATATTTCTTTCAAATCAAGAGTAATCAAATCAGGAGTAATTTAAACAATAAGAAAAAGTATCTCTTTTCAATCATCTCGTCGCTCCATGAATGAAAAATGATACAATGTTAGCAAATGCGACTAGGAAAACTTCAAACACTGATTTTTCAGATGGGGCGGGTGTCTTTCAGTAGCATCTAAGGATTATCTGAACAAAAAAAAATTATGAAATGGAACGATCCTCTGGTCAGAGTATCTCTTATGTGGCAGAAAAGGAAAGCTATCAGAAACAAAGCAAGCAGAGAGCAATGCTGAATTTCAAATGCAATTGCAGGATGAGTTGTGCTTTGAAATAGACGCATATATGTTTTTAGGGATTTGTCTCACTGCATGTGTCTTTTTTATTTTATTTTATTTTTACATAACTGTCAACTATATCAGTGAAGAAAATGAAAAATGTATCACTCAAAGCTATTTTTTTTTCACTTTCTGAACTGTACCTTATCTAGTGAGAAATGAAAGCTCACTCTCTCTTTTCTCCCTAAGAAATACATTTCTGTAACATCTCTCCACTATCAAAGTGTAACAAACAGCAAGTTGAAGGGAAAAACCAGACACACATAAGGCAACCAATTTTTTGAGAACTCACTAGATGCTCAAGGGTATAGAAGGGGACAAAAGCCTGGCAATCAGAAGCGGTCTTCTGTTTTGAGAAAGGAACCACTTTTAGACTAAAAACACTCTCCTCTACATCTTTCCTCTATAGCAGTACTACAATCAGCCCTATTCAATATTTTTGTTATTTAGATTTGTATTGTCTGATCCCCCCTCTGGAGTGTAAATCCATGAGGTCTATTTTATATGTGGATTTGCCCCACTACCTCAATCAATATTTAAATGCATCAATAAAAAAATTACCAAATATTGCTGAAAAATTGTTTAATCAAATTGTGAGTAAACAACATAAACAAAGAGGAAGGAAAACTGAACTCTCTCTGAGGCATTTAAAGAAAGCTATAATGAGGTGAAATAGGCAGGGTATGGTGGTCCATAAGGTATGAGAAAGTTTCTATGTTTGTAAACTGCGTGGCTATTTCCATATTAATCACCACACAAAGATATTTTTTTTCTAAATCGTTTTATTACATTTCTTATCTCATTAACCACAGCAAAAAGTATTCTTTTTTTAATAATCATTTTGTAATTTCATTCCTGAGATCCTAGATTCAGAAAGGAACATAAAATTCAGCCCTCTTAAATGCCTAATATTTTATGAATGCAAAATAAACTCTAGGTAGTAGGCATGTGTTAAAGACCCCTGGGTTGGTGAAACGGGCCAGGCTGGACCCATATCTCGAAATGCTCAGTCTTTCTGTTATGAACGTCTATGAAGCACAAACTCAATGTTCTCACACAATGCAGACTGCATTACCTCAAAGAAATACAATAAAGCTAGACACTGCTCACAAAAAGACAACTAAACTCTCATTACAGAAACAGAAGAGCTTTGTATAGAAAGACCTTAAAGATTAGAATCTTCAATCTGGAAACTCTGACATCTATTAAATCATGAAGAAGGTGGATAGTGTGAAAGCCAAGCTATCCTCAGACTTCAATTATCCAAGGTTTAAGGGCATCCTTTGAAGTTTAAGAGAGATAAATTGAGGATAAATAATGGTAAATGCCATACTACTTGATTTATTCGGTAGAGCATTAATGGAAGTAACATGAGTGGAAAATATAATAAGTTCATAAAAGATTTAGATTAAAATAAAACATAAAATAAATCAATTTTTAGTCTATTTCAATAAAAAGTGGCCCAATACTGCTTTTATCTCTTCAAAGTACAAGACTCTCCTTGCTCTTTAGTTATATTTGAAGTGATCAAGCTTGAACATTTTCACACCAAAATTAAAGAACCAGGTGTCTTAGTGACATTGGTTCCATAGCAAGAGCTGATGTGGTGCAGTACTC